GAGAATGACTATGTTGCTGTCTTTCCTCAGGTTGGTGAGTGCTTTTTGTTCTTCTCTGTGTAGGTTGGTTCTGGGTGGGTTGCTGGAGCAGAGGACGTTGGTGACTTCAAGTCTGATTTTGTTCGCTGCATCTGGGCTGATTTTGGTTAGGCTAGCTTCAACTCCGCATATAATATTTTCAGTGGGGATGCGTTTGTGGGCGACTGCAAAGTTGAATCCTTTGGAAAGGACATTGGTTTCTGCTATGGTGAGGGTTCTGTCTGATATGTTGTGTACTGTTTGTTTCATGTGTTGTTGTGGGGAAGGGTTGGGTTTCTGGCGTTTCTCTAGTCTGTGGAGTTTCCTGGTGTGTGTGTCTGTCTTGTGGGAGGTTTCTGTTTCGGCTCTCCAGAAAGCTAGTTGTTTGGATTTGTCCCAGAGTGCTGAGTGAATTTTGTTGCTGAGTTTGAGATGGAGTGTGAGTAGATCTCTGTTGGTTTGGTCTAGTAGGAATCTTTTCTTGTGGAGTTCATTTCTGATTAGCCCATTATACCAACATCAACTCCATCAACCAATTAAGAGGCAGCAGCACAGCCAACCAGCCCAGCACGCCAGGCCCCCCCCCCACCAGTATTTATAGAGAGACGGCAGCTCCAATCACACACTGCTTGCACTGGCACAAAGCCGAAAGCACCAGCCTGAGGATGGCGAGTGGGACCTCGCCGAAACATCGCCAAGATACTCTTAATCTTACACGGGAAAAGACCCGAACACACCTAGACATACATACATATACATATATATATATATATACACACACATATACATATACACACACACACATTTTCTTAAGTTTTCGCGGGTACTTACATGTGTGGTATTCAGCTTTGTTCGGGTATTTTCCCACGTCATTATAGTTGTGCTTTTAAAGACACACACACACACACATGTATGTATGTATGTATATATTTGGCCACCAAAAAAAGGCACCAGGTCTTGTTTTCAGGGGACGTCCTCCATGGACTAATCTCACGTGTGCCCGTTGCCCCCAGTCTCCTTCCGGAAGTCCTTCTTCTGCAGCCAGCAAGGCTTTCCTGAAGGCCTCGGCAGCTGATAACCGCCAATAACTCCGGACCAATCCAGAACTTTGTTCTCAGCTCCAGAGGCCTTCAGGAAAGCCTAGCCAGCCTTGCCAGCTGCAGAAGAAATGGGCCAGCAAGGCAGGTGTTGGGGTGTGCAAGACAACTGTCCAAAGGTAAGTGGTAGGGCAGCTCCACACACACCCAATCCGCACCCTAACTTTATCTTTACCCATCCACTCTGGAGTGGGCGGGAATCTTAATTAGGGTTTATTTTGGGGGTAGGGCTTATATTGGGCTCACGTGTAATAAATCAAGCTAGGACTTACACAGTAGGTCGTATTTTCTGGGAAACAGGATAGTCTGTATGTCAGGCAGGATAAAGTGGAAAGGACTCTCAAGGCTCCTGGCGTATGTTTAAAAAAAATGGGGCTTTTAATTTTTAAAATGTTTTATTTTTTTTTAAACTTAATTTTTAAAATGCACGGGGGATTTCTGGGTTGGGTTGGAACAAAAGCAATATTCATTCTGCATGATTATTGTGACGGGTCCAACTGGAGCTGTTAAACAGCCTTAATACATTCTGGCTTTCTTTGATAAGAGCTAGTCCTTGACTTTACGACCCCAACTGAGCTCAGCATTTATGTCGGCTCAGCGAGGAATTTGTTCAGGGAAGTTTTGCGTCCCGTTTTTGCGCCCTTTCCTGACCCGTTTTTGTTAAGCTACCGTGTTTCTCCAACAATACGCCCCCCCATAAAAAGACCCAGCATTTCTAGGCATAAGGTGAAATTAAGCCCCTCCCCCCAAATTTAGGCCTAGTTTAAAACATGTGAAATTGGGGGGGGGTGGGGGGAACTTGCCATTAGGAGCACCCCACGGGCAGCCACGCCTCAGAGGATTCACCCCAAAGGAGGATTCATCAGAGGATTCCCCCCAAAGGAGGGGAGTGCATTTAAGGGGCTGAATCCTCCTTTGGGGTGGATCCTTTGGGAGAATCCTCTGGGAAGCTTGGTGCTAAGGGTCTGTAGGATGATTCCCTTTCTCTTCTGTTTGGATTGGAAGGTTTGCCTCTGCTCAAAGGGCAAAGTGGATAGATAGTTCCCTTTTTAAAACTACTGGGAGGGGTGGGGACAAAGCTGCCCAGCTAGTCTGTATTCTTAGGGAACTGACGGAGAGAATGAGAGTAAAGAAAACTTAAAGAGGGGGAAAAGGTCCACAGGGGGGTTTTGGGCAGATGGAGCAAGAGGAGAGCGCCCGACCATACAAGGGACGAGACCATGACCTGAAGCTCTTGGGTGGGAAGCAAAACGAGGCGTGGGGGGGGGGGGGGGGAGAGAAATGATCGCATCACCCTCCCTCTGCCACTTCCACCTACCCAACCCCGAAAGACTCACCAACTTGCAGGACCTTGTCGACACAGCTGCTGTCAATCAAAGCGATGCCCCTGCGGGAGGGCAGGCGGTTCTCGTCGGCAGTGGGGTCTGTCTCACCGCTGCTCCTGTTGTTGGAGACAGTGCTGGTGAGAGAGGCGCCAGCACCGGCGGGAACCATGGAAGCTATGGCTTCCCCGCCCGAGAAGCAGCTGAAACGCTGCCGCACTCCAAACGCGGCAGCGCACGGGCAGAAGGGAAAGCAACAGCGTCAGGCGCGATGCAAAGTGCCCCACCGCCGAGGCCGACATCCACGCCGCCGCCACCCGCCCACTGACCTGGCCTGCACCCAGCACCATACCCAGGTCTGCAGCAAAGGCGTTTGGCGGGGGTAGGGAGCTCTCAATGCTCCGCCATGATCGGCCATTAGGAGCGGCTGGTGGCGAGGCGTGGCTGCCCACAGGGCGCTCTAGGCGAGGGTGGGGGAGAAATTAAGTCACCCCCGAAAAGACAGCCTAGCCGTTAAATCAGGGGTCAAAAGAAAATAAGGCCCGGCCTTATTTTCTGAGAAACACGGTAGTCGCTGCAGTTGCTAAATTAATAGCACGGTCATTAAGCCGATCTGGCTTTCTCCATCAGAAGGTCGCTGGGACACTGCGACTGTCCTAAAGGCGAACCAGTGGTCAAGCACCTGAAGGTAAATCATCTCCCCATGGGGAACGATGCAACGGTCCTTAAGTGTGAACAAGCGGTCCCAAGTTGCTTTTTTCAGTGCCGTCGTTAACTTCGAACTGTTGCTAAACGAACGGTTATAAGTCAAGGACTACCTGGATATCTCTAGCATTGAAGGTGGGCCAGACGTGCTTGGGTGTTCTGGGGGTAAGAAATTAAAATTTGGCTTCTGGTCTCTGGAGAGACTCTTTATTGGAATAATCCTTGACTCTTTTAGTGACTCCGGCACTGGCAAAACTGACTTACGACCGTTTTTTTCACACTTAATGACCGTTGTAGTCACAAGAAACCCCCCCACCCAATTAGTTGTTCAGTGGATTACAGGTAGTTCTCACCTTACAACCACATATTCAGCCCAACCTGAGGCTGTGCAAAGAGAGTTGAATTTGGCCCCGTTTCGATGCCTTTCCTTGCCACAGTTAACACGAATCCCTGCCATTGTTAAATGAGTCACATGGTTGCTAAGTGAACCCTGCTTTCCCCCCCATTGGCTTGGCTTGTCAGACGGTCGCAAGAGAGGATCACGCGACCCCAGGATGCTGCAACCGTCGTAAATTCGAGTCGGCTGTGCCAAGCGTCCGAATTATTGATCCCACGACTGTGGAGATGCTGCGACGGGCATTAAGTGTGACCAAACGGTCATAAGTCACGCTTTTCCCCCCTGTAACTTGGAAAGAATTGCCCAGGACTATCATGGATCATCCAGGCCAGGAAGATTAATGATGAAGAGACAGGTAACTTTGAATGGCTCCATTCTGAGGTACCAAACTCTTGTATCCAACATCCCATCGTCAGAACTTAATGGGGGGGAGACTGGGGAAGATTTGATTTTTTTAAATTTCCCTTGCAGAATACAGCAATTTTAATTTGTATTTTTTTTTGCTAACTGCACATTGACCTGAGCCTTCCTAGCCAGCTCCGTAAAGCGAAGGAAGGCTCGGCTCAGAAAGGAGCGACAATTGTAGTCAAAAAGACTGACAAAGATTGCGGTGTGTGTGTGTGTGTATGTTAAATATCCAGGCCTCCTAAGTGGCATCGGACATTGTGGGCAGGTAGAAAAAAAAAACCAGAGGGGCATCTCCTATGCCAAGCAGAAAAATGGCATCAAGGGAATATTTGTAGCTCAGGGTTGAACTGTTAGGAGCAGGGGCTCCTTGGTGGTCTCACTGAGCTTGGTGGTTTGCTTGCAGGCATTTCATGACCCAGCTAGGGAACATCAACCATGCTGGTTAACCCCCCTTCCTGTTCTAACAATGATGATGTTCCCTAGTTGGGTCATGAAATGTCTACAGGAAATGTATAAAGAGATGCCAAGAGCCCTCAATCCTCCTCCTTCTTTCTTTTCCTCTCTGCAAACTCCACTCTAGCATGGATGATGTTACCTAGTTGGGTCATGAAATGTCTACAAGAAATGTGTAGAAAGCCCCAAGGACCCCACAATCCTCCTCCTTTTTTCTCTTCCTCTCTGCAAACCCCACTCCCTCCTAGCACTGATGATGTTCCCTAGTTGGGTCATGAGATGTCTGCAAGAAAACCAGCCCAGCTCAGAGAGCACCAAGGACCTCACAGTCGTCGTCCTCCTTTCCCCCTCTAGCAGTGATGTTCCCTAGTAGGGCCATGAAACGTCTGCAAGGAAAAACTGGTCATTCTCCTCTTCTGTCTGGCGAGCTGCACAATGGGACCCACACAACACACATACACACACACAAAGCAGCAAGGGGAAAACCCCGCTCGACACCTGTCGGGCGCACGCAAACCCACGCGCCACTGGGAGTTTCCCCAAGATATCCTCCTTTCCCTCCTGCCACAGATGACAGAGACACACACCCCTGCCCCTTACTTTGGCGTGGCCGTGCTTGCCCGTCTTCGAAGTGGACATCTCCACAATCTTGCAAGGACGTCCCTTGAGCACCACGAAGCCGTTCTTCCGGAGGGCGGAGCACTGCATGGGGAAGGTGGCGGAGGCGCCGGCATCGCCGGTCTCGAAGTCCAGGTCATCAGCCATGGTGGATCAGGTGTTGTAGAAAACGCTGGGGGAGGAGGAGGAGGACAGAAAGGTTAAGACGGAAGTAGGCAGGTGTGCGCACACGCTGGCTGGCTGGTCAAGCTTGGAAGAAGGAAAACCCTGCCAGAGGGAGAATGCAACGCTCAAGGCCTTTACACGCCCACGTAAAGTTTCCACACCCGCTGGTTGGCGCATGGCAAGCATACCTGTTGCTCCCAGAGCTGGGAAGACAGGATGATGCATTGAGACAGATTAAAACAGGGGGGTCTCCAACCTTGGCAACTTTTAAGACTGGTGGACTTCGACTCCCAGAATTCCCCCAGCCAGCTTCGCTAAGACTTCAACTCTGCCTGCTTACTCTCTTTGTAATCTCTTCCTCTGCAATCTCTCCACTCTGGGGAGTAGGAGGGAAAAACAAAACAAAACCAGGCATGGTTGAATGGGGAATTCTGGGAGTTGAAATCCACCAGTCTTAAAGTTGCCAAGGTTGTAGACCCCTGGATTAAAGGGTCTTGGCAAGTTTAACTGTATCATGAATGGTTGAGGGAATGGGGTGCATCTTAGACTAAGAAGAGAAGGACAAAGGAGGGACAGGATAGCAGTGTTCAAGTATTTGAGGGGCTGCCACAATAAGGAGGGGGTCCACCTTATTCCCCAAAGCAGGACGAGAAAGGGATGGGTAGAAACTAATCAAGGAGAGAAGCAACCTGGAATTAAGGAGAAATTTCCTAACAGCAAGAACAATTTAACCAGGGGAAAAGCTTGCCACCAGAAGTTGTGGGTGCCCCATCACTGGAAGATTTTTGGTTTTTAAGAGTCACTTATTTACATTTATAGCCATTCTAATCAGTATTTTATATCACATTTATCAATTGTTGTATTGTCATTAACATTCTTTCAAAATTATATTTCATATTCTTTCTTACTGTAACTCAATTGTCAATTATAATATAAATATGTATGATAATGTTACTATGTGCACAAGATGTATGTACCCAACCGACACATTGAACAGAAAGATTGTTTTATTTTTGTTTTTGTTATAAAAATAATCTTTTTTTAAAAAAAAAAAAGTCACTTGTCTGAGATTGTATAGGTTCTCCTGCCTGAGCTGAAGGGTTGGACTAGAAGACCTCCAAGGTCCCTTCCAGCTCTATTCTGATTGAAGTATTTGAGGGGCTGCTCCAAAGAAAGGGGGGGGGGGTCAATTTATGCTCTAAAGCACTAGAAGACAGAACAGGAAGCAACGGGTAGAAACTCATCAAGGAGAGAAGCAACCTGGAAGGAAGGAGGAATTTTCCTAGCAATTAAATCAGTGGAACAGCTTCCCTCCAGACATTGTGGGGGCTCCAATCAATGGAAGTTTTCAAGAAAAAGACTATAGACAGCTGTTTGGCCAGAATGATACTATAGGGTCTCCTACCTTGGCCTGGGCTAGACTAGAGGACCTCCAAAGTTCCTTCCAGTCCTATCATTCTATGTTCTACATCCACACGTCTTTTAAAAAGGCTTTGTGCCAAGGGCCATTGAAATCTCTCATCAATTTTCCAAATTTAAGCACTGCCAAAAACACGAGACTCACAATGTACCAGCCAACCTACTTCCTAGCTCAGCCCTATTTGGTTTACAACCCTTTCAATCCAAAGCATACAAGTTCTTGTATCTTCTGAGACAGAGATGTCCAACCTTCGCCACTTTTAAGTCATGTGGGCTTCAACTCCCCAGAACTGATGGCTGGAGGATTCTGGGAGTTGAAGTTCACAGGACTTAAAAGTGGCCAAAAGTTGAACACCTCTGTTCTAAGGAACAGAAGTTGCCTTCAGAAGTTGTGGGAGCTTCATTACTGGAGGCTTTCGAGAAGAGATTGGACTGCCATCTGTCAGAAATGGTGTAGGGTCTCCTGCTTGAGCAGGGAGGGGTTGGACTAGATGACCTGCAAGGTCCCTTCCAATTCTGTTGATTTGTTACATCTGAAATCCTGCCCACACAGCTGATGCTGGGCTATTTGGAGTAAGGGGCAGGGAGAGCCTGTTGCCTTAAGCCAGGGGTCCCCAAACTTGGCAACTTTAGGACTTGTGGACTTCAACTCTCAGAATTCCCCGGCCAGCAATTCTGGGGAGTTGAAGTCCACAAGTCTTAAAATTGCCAAGTTTGGAGACCTCTGTCTTAAGCAGACATCCCAGCATGCTTTTAGAATGGGAACTATGGAAGCAAGAGACAAAACAGAACCCAAATTTGAGTCAAGGTAAATTTTTAGCACTGCCTCTCATTTTTAACCCATCCAAAGGAAGCGGCCAAGACAAACCGCTAATTTGATATCTTTTTAGTCTAGCAAAACCAGAGCCCAAAAACTAATGTCTTCTCCTAAAAACTTTCTTTTTCCAGCACTACTGATCATTTTCAGGATTTCCCCAGTGGCCTCCAGGCCATCTCATTACTACTGCATATACTTACAAAAAAACCCATCTGCTAAAAAAGCCACACAGGTAGCCCTTGACTTACGACCATAATGGAGCCCCAAATTTGTTAAAAGCGAGGCATTTAAGGGAATTTTGTCCCGTTTTACAACCTTCCTTCCAATTTTTATACATCCATATACACATAAGTACAGGTAATCTTCAAGCACAACTGAGCACAAGCTTTCTGTTAAGTGAAATATTTGTTAGGTTTTACCCCAATTTTACCTTTCTTACCACTGTGGTTAAGTTTAGTCACATGGTCATTGAGTCCGGCATAGATTTTGCCTCTCGGAAGGTCACAAAAGAGGAACCATGTGACCCCTCCCCCCAAGACACTGCACCCATCAAAAATACAAGTCAGTTGTGCCAAGCGGCTTGAATTCTGATCACAGGGATGCCACGACAGCCATTAAATGTGAAAAACAGTCGTAAGTCACATGTTTTTTCGGTGCTGTTCTTAAACTTTTGACCGGTCACTAAATGTACCTTGTTGTAAGGTCGAGGACTACCCGTAGTGCAGCTGCCTTTTGAAAAAGCACCTTGGAGCCAACTACCACCTGGATGAAACGAGAATCTCTCTCTCAACATTTATTCCGTCTACTAACTTTCTCTGGCCTGCAAGCCTCTCCATTCACACGGCAATAAGCCTGCAGAAGTTTGCTTCCCATGCCGACCTGAGCCCAAGATTTAGCCAAGATCAAGCCAGGAGACTTCGACCACACCTTCTGCTGCATGGATCCTCCATGCTCTATTTTGGGATCTCCTGCTCTTTACAGCTCCCAAGGCCCGGGGATCATATACGTCTCAAGGCCCAGAATGAATCCAAAGGAGCAACTTCAGTCAAAATATTCTTCCAAAAGGTGCAGTTTTAAGGGAAGAGGAGGAGGAAGCCAACCAGATTTGAGAAAAAGCTCATTTTTGGAGTCAGCCTACGTTTGTTTGTTTTTAAAAATAAACTTCTAACTTAGGTTTAGCAAAGACTGAGACTTTAAGCCCCAAAGAGCTCATTTCACTCATTCCCAAAAAAGAAAAAAAAATCCACCTTGCCAACATGCAAATCGAATAATTCCTTCGTGGAGCAATCTTCCCTTAAGGCTTTAAATGCCTAAATATATTACACCGATGGTAGAAGCCCCCCCCCATTCCCTCAGCACCCCAAACCCAATCTTCCCATGTGTTTGGGGTGAATAAAAGCTGACCTGGAAAGGAAGAACTGAACCCCAGGCATATTCTCTGACCCACTCTTCCTCCCAAGGCAGATCTCTGGGATCCGCTTGCCCTCCGGAGTGGGCTGCTGCTCTCAAGAGGGGCACACAAAAAGAAGGGCAGGAGGGCTCTCCAAGCCCTCCCCAACATACATCAGAGCTGGAAAAACCCGCTTCCCTTCCCAGGGAGGCAGCCTAGCATTAAGACAAAGCCCCAGACAGCATGAGGTGGTGGTGGCTACAGACATAGCTGCTGCTGGCTCCTTCTTCCACACACCCCTCACCTGCCACGCCAAGGAGCCCCCCCACCACCACCAAGTCTGATCATTAGCCTGCCCACCTCCTTGCAAGAGAGCAACCAGGAGTCTCCTCTCCCACTGCAAACCTGTCTGGGTCATTGACTAACCGTCTTCGCAGACTTACAGTGGCTCCTCAAAAGGCCCATAAGCAGTGCAGGTGGTGGCAGCAGTTGGGGGCACCAGGCTGCCACTACCACGTGAGGAGCCAAAGGGGAAGGGAAGAGGAGGGGGGAGCTGGCCAAAGGAGGCAGGAAGTTTGCACCCACTTTACTGGAAGGAGAAAGAATCAGGCAGCCCCTCCGGCCCGCATGGAGCCTCCCCTCGACTCTTGCCAACCCCAAGCATGATTCAGCTAAGCTGCCACTGCGGAGAGACAGGCTCCATACCACACACCATGTGGCCGGCTTTTGGGGGGGGGAGGAGGAAGGGAGCAGCTACTTTTAGGAGGAAGGGACCCCCCCTTGCTTTCCATCTTGTCCTAAGCTGCTACATCCCCAATTCTTAGGGGGTGATAAATGTCTCCCCTAACAGAGGCTTTTGCACAGGAGTTCCCCCCTCCACAAGACTCCTGGCATCTGAACAGATTCTTCCATGCCTAAAAGCCTGCTGAGTTCAAATCCAGCCTGAGGTCTCTGCTTCCCCCCCCCCCCCGCCTCAAATGGCCCCAAGGCCATCTATCCGGGGAGGAAGGAAAGCCACTAACATAAGCAAACCCCAAACCCACCACCCCCAAAGTGGGCTACCACAGAAGCAAAAGCTGAAACCTACCCCCCTTTTCAGGTTGCTCAATCACACCCCTCACCTTCTCTAGGTAGCAATCTAGGTAACTGATGCAAAAAGGTGAACTCTGTCAAGGCTGCACGCAGAACAAACCCCCCATCTAGGGGGAATCCCATGGGAGAGGGGGCAGACAAGCCTAGTTTCAACATTTAAAACCAGGGGTGGGCAAACTTGGCTACTTTTTAAGACCTGCGATACTTCAACTCCCAGAATTCCCCAGCTGACCATGTCGGCTGGGGAATTCTAGGGGTTGAAGTCCCACAGGTCTTAAAAGTAGCCAAGCTCGTCCACCCTCGATTGAAAACCCATCATCCAGGGGATAAAAAGTTCAAATCTAGCTGTTGCCCTTTTTTTGGGGGGGTGGGGGGATGTCTTTTTCACCAGCCTTTCTTTTTTCCGTCTTTTTCCACTGCTGTCCAGTCAAGCCATTGCAAGTTGTTTCGTTTCCATCCACCCTCTGCATTCCCACCCACCCCAAAAAAGTAACCCCCCCAGAGGGGGTTGACTCCCCAAGTTGCAAAAGAAAAAGAAAAGCCACCTTCCCAAATATGCAAAGCCCCCCCCCCCCCCCCCAAAAAAAAACTTGCATTCCCTCATCCCCAAATCAGGGGGAGGGGCTTGGCAGGCCTTCCCTTTAAAGGGCAATTTCTAAAGTGCTTTTCTCTCCCGCCCCAAAGAAGACTGAGGTCACACAAACCAGCTCGGCCACGGAATTTGCCTATTTTGGGGTTTGCACAGGCCACAACCAAACCACAAAAGGAGGGGGGAAAGGGGGGGGAAGAGAAGCTGGTTTAAAATGCCTGTGTCAATAATTTGTCAATTCAGTCAATAATTTGAGTCTGGGAGGCGGAGGGGTTGGCTTTGAGCCCCCCCCCAGCTCCCCTCCTTGCCCTCAGGGTCGCTTTTCCCCACTGAATTTTAGAGGGGAGGGGGTGCCTCCAATCAGGGCTCTCCCCCTCCCTCCCCTTGCCCCCCCCCCCGCCCCCGCACCCACCCCCAAATCCAGGCACCTCCTACAGTTCAGCCCAGGAAAGGCTCCCTTTAGGTGACCCCCCCAGGAAGTCCAAGGTTCCCTCCCTCCCCTCACCCCAAATCCAGGTACCCCCCCTCCCCAGAGTTCAGGCCAGGCTCCCTTTAGGTGACTCCCCTTCCCAGGAAGACCAGGGCTTGTCCCCCTCCCTCCCCTCATCCTTCCCAAAGACCCCCCCCTCCAACGGCCCCCCCCCCCCCCAAAAAATCCAGGCACCCTCCATAGTTCAGGCCAGGGCACTCTCCCTTTAGATGATCCTCCCCCTCCCAGGAAGACCAGGTCTTCCCCCCTCCCAAAGACCCCCAACCACAAATCCAGGCACCCCAGCCCCCAAAGGGTTCTTTTAGGTGATCTCGCCTCCCAGGAAGATCACTCCCCCCT